CTTGTCAAAATTTCAAGTATCTTTATAAATAATAAAATTCTTTTCCGAAATACAGTTATTTTAGAAAAATTTTAATAAAATTCTTGGGAAAATTTTAATTAATTTCATGAATAATAAAACTCATCGCAGGATTTTAATTACTTTTGATACAATATTTTAATCGAATTTCTCGAAAAATGTAATTCTTCTTAAAATTTTTTTTTAAATTTGTCAAAAGAATTCAATTATTTAAAAATTTGTTGGTAAAATTCTTTATGAGAATTCAATTTTAACAAACATTTAATTATTTAATAAATTATTTATTTTTTAATTCAAATAATTGAATTCTTCTAGAATTTTCTAATAAAAATTTATTTAAAAATGAATTTCCGAATAATTGATTTATTATTTATGAAAATAATTGAATTATTGCAACGAATTTTATTACATTTTCTTTAAATAATTGATTTTTTTTGAGAAATTTTACTACTTGGAAAAATAATTAAATTCTTGCGAAGGATATTATTAGGATTTTTGTAAATAATTAACTTTTTTTTGAAAAATTTTTTGGTAATTTAAATTATTATAAAACATGAAGAAGGCGTTCACTTCGAGTCGAAGACTCGGAGTGATCGCCTTCTTCATGTTTTGTAATAATAATCTTATAAGTTGTTGAATTTCAAAAAGGTTTGAATTTGAATGTTTTGAAAAATTTGAATTCCTACAGAAGAATAATAACGATTAAATATTTATTTAAAAAAGAAGTTATTTTTTTTTTTTTGAATAATTTTACAATTAAAGAATTTTCTAAATGAATGTAATAGAACATTTTTTTGAGTATCTAATAATTTTTAGAGTGAATCAGAATATTCTTTAGGGTCAGGGGAAAAGTCAAAATCAGTCAGGAAAAAGTCTGTAAATCAGGGAAAAATAAAATTAAATATTTGTGGCAACCCTGGATCGAAGAGAACTACAAAGAAATGATTTTTGTTTTTGATTTAAATATACCGATTGAAAAAAAATTATTTTTAAAATAGAGTTTTTTTTAAATATTGTTTGAGATTATTGTTTTTGAAAAAAAGGCGTAGAAAATGAATTGCAAATGAAGCAAAAAAAAAAAAAAAAAAAAAAAAAAAATAGTCGATTTTGTTGTCCTGGGCCAGACGAAGTTTTAGTGGAACGGTGGAATGAACAATCCACTCATCAGTATCCACGTGTTTGACACGTGTCAGAGCGTGCCTGAACAACTGGTGCTTTTCTGAAGTGTACGGTGTCTGGGAGTCTCCTGACACCATGTGCCTTGGAAAAAAAATACATCATTCTCTAATAATTTTAACTTATGCACATACGCGCCTTTTCCACACAGATTACATCGTATATGACATGCGCCCATCGACATTGTTCGGGATTATAAATAAAAGAGCATTTTGACAGAGAGGCCGGGTCCTTTAAGTCACCCGCTGCGATTGCGAATCTCCTTTTACTTTCAATTTCATCCATATAAAATACTCTTTACGATGATTAGTGATTAGTTTTCTAAAATTGTTTTTTAATTCTCAATCTTGATTTCATTATTAAAATATAAGGATGTGGTATGGATGATTAAACCATGGTTTGTGCATTGAGAAAACGATTTATTTGATTCAAAGATCCAGAGATTTTATAAGGGTATCAAATTGAGAGAAAAAACGTATTAAAACGTTGCTTCGCAACTATTTTGATACGTCTTTTTGTCTCAATTTGATATCCTTAGAAAAACTGTGTAGACATACTTTTTGCCATTTGAATTAGTAAATTTTACTAGTAATATTATTAGAAAGTAGGGGAATGTAGTCAAGGTTGGCCTACTGTCTAGGTAGGCCACTCGCGTTTTTTTGTCAAGTTCACTAGCGCCACCTACGCGCATTTTTGTCGAAGCTTGTCTTAGTGAAACCTAACTTTTTGTTCAATTACATTTTCGGAAAATCGAAAATTGTGTTTTCTGTGACGTCGGTACAAAAAAAGCTCAAAAAAAGTTTTGTGCATAATGTGAAAAACCATTAATAAAAGATAAAAAACAAATTGAATCGTCAAGGCAAGTATGCAGAAAATTTGTGGGACTCATGGTTGAAAGGAAAACAAAGTAAAAAATCGAATCCCGAAACGTATTTCTTTATGGTTACAACAATTCGGTAATGTTACTTACTGTCAAGGTCGGCCGCTATGTGTTTAAAATGCGCAAAGTTGAGGACGAGCTACTTCATTTGCAAAAACTGCAATTCTGTATAACTCATAATATAATTGATCATCTTATTAATATTTTTATTTAATTTTATTAATATTTTAGTGCAAAACTTTTTTTTATTTATATTTATTTTTTTATATTGTTTATTGTTATTATTTTGTTATTTCATTAAGTTACAAACTGTAAACAATAAAGAATCAATTTTCCGTAACTCCAAACATGTTATTTTAGTTTTTAACGATTAATGCCCTTTGAATTTTAAACATGGCCGACCTTGACTGTAATGGCTAACCTGGACTACAAATTTTTTTTTTTTTAAATCTTTATAACTTTTTCATTTTTAAACCTGTCAATTTACTTTGTACAGAAAAAATGTTCCTATTAAACAGGACTTTCCAACCATATACTTCAATTGTCCAAATTCATTTTTAAAAAAAAGTTATAAACAAAAGTCAAAAAGGTGGCCGACCTAGACTATGTTCCCCTACTATTTATAATTAGTAAAATTTACTAATATTCTCTCTAAATTTGAATTAGTAAAAATGCTTACTAATTAGAATTAGTGACTATAGCTTTTTTGAATTAGTAAGTTTCACTAATAAATTAGTAAAAATGACTATTTATTTGTAAAATGTACTAATTCAAAAACAAAAAAATCAATCACGGATTCTAATTAGTAAATTAGTAGAAATGACTATTTATTAGTAAAATAAATGTTTACTTTTGAATTAGTGAATTTTACTAATAAATTAATAGAAATTACTATACATATTTATTAGTCAAATTTACTAATTCAAAAACAAAAAATCAACCACTAATTCTAATTAGTAAATTAGTAGAAATGACTATTAATTAGTAAAATAAATGTTTACTTTTGAATTAGTAAATTTTACTAATAAATTAATAGAAATTACTATTTATTGTAGTAAAATTTACTAATTCAGAAGCAAAAATTCAATCATTAATTCAAATTAGTAAATTAGTAGAAATGAGTGTTTATTAGTTGAATAAATTTTTACTTTTGAATTAGTAAATTTTATTAATAAATTATTAGAAATTACTATTTATTAATAAAATTTATTATTCAGAAGCAAAAAGTCATCATTAATAACTTTAACTACTTTAGCTAATAATAAATTAGTAGAAATTACTATTTATTAGTATAATTTACTAATTGATTGAATTTTTGCTAATTCATTGATAAAACTTACTAATTCAAAAGCAAAAAATCAGTCAATTAGTAAATTTTACTAATAAATAATAATTTCTACTAATTTATTATTAGTTAAAGTAGTTACAGTAGTTAAAGTTATTTGTGTCTGACATTTTGCTTCTGAATAATAAATTTTATTAATAAATAGTATTTTCTACTAATAAATAGTATTTTCTACTAATAAATAGTATTTTCTACTAATAAATACTAATTTCTACTAATTCATTAGTAAAATTTACTAAATCAAAAACAAAAAGTCAGTCAATTAGTAAATTTTACTAATAAATAGTAATTTCAACTAATTTATTATTAGTTAAAATAGTTAAAGTTATTAGTGTCTGACTTCTTGCTTCTGAATAATAAATTTTATTAATAAATAAAAATTTTATTAATAAAAAGTTGTTTACTTTACTTAGATTGTAAGAAGTACTTATTGTACGAAAGGGCATGTCTTGTTTATTATGAATAAATAAAAAATAAATAAATAAATAGTAATTTATACTAATTTATTAGTAAAATTTACTAATTGAATAGCGAGAATTTATTTTACATAGAGAGAGAAAATATATATTAAATTTTGTAAAAGTATTTTACAATTTGAGGAAAAAGTGCAACAAATCGAAATTTTGACATAGAAAATACTAAACAGTGAAAGAAATAATATGAAATTTAGTAAATTTATATTAAAATTTAACTAAAATTCTTATATTAGATATAATTATACTAAATTTCACATAAGTTTTTTCAAAGTTTAGAATTTTTTATATCAAAATTTTGCTTTGTAGCATTTTTTTCCCCAAATTCAGAAATAATTTAAAAAATTTAATATAATTTTTTCTCCGTGTACTAATAAATAGTATTTTTTTTACTAATTTACTAATTTGAATTAATGATTGACTTTTTTCTTTTGAATTAGTACCTAAATTTTACTGATAAATAGTAATTTCTATTAATTTATTAGTAAAATTTACTAATTCGAGAGCAAAAAGCCATCAGTCACTAATTCTAATTAGTAAGCATTCTTACTAATTCAAATTTAGAGAGAATATTAGTAAATTTTATTAATAAATAGTACTTTCTACCAATTTACTCTCTAAATTCGAATTAGTAAATTTTTTTTACTAATTTGAATCAGTGACATACTTTTTGCTTTTGAATTACTAAATTTCACTAATAATTAGCAATTTTTACTAATTTTTTAGTAAAATTTACTAATTTAGAAGCAGAAAGTCAGTCACTAATTTAAATTAGTAAAAATTTTTACTGATTTAAATTTAGAGAGTACTAGTAAGATTTACTAATTCAAAAGTAAAAAGTGAGTCACTAATTTTAATTAGTAAGCACTTTTGCTTATTCAAATTTAGAGAGAATATTTAGTAAATTTTAATAATAAATAGTAATTATAAATAGTAATTCTACTAATTTATTAGTAAAATTTATTAAATTCATAATAAGCAAAAAGTGAGTCACTAATTCAAATTAGTAAACATTGTTACTAATTTTAGAGTTTATTAATTTATTTATTCTCCTTTATCATTCAATAAAATTTGTTTGTCTAATTCAGAATTCCTTTGTTTGTTTCAGGATCCTTTGAGGGAAGAAGATCGTGATGGCTTTGTTTGGGATCATCAATAAAATATGTGAGTTTTTCTTATTTTGCAGTAATATTTTTTTAATTTATTGTGTTATTTTTTAATTAATTTATTATATTAAAAAAAAATTTTTGGTGAAATTTTCCCAATTTTTTTTTTTGTTATTGTAATAGTATATTAGTAAAATAATAATTTTACTGTTATTATTTTTTTATAATAGTAAAATTTGGATTATTTTTTATTATTATTAAATAAAGTCAGACACTTGAAAGTGTGTATATATATATATATATATATATATATATATATATATATATATATATATATATATATATATATATATATATATATATATATATTTGATGAAAATATGAAATAGCCCGCATCCTTGGGATATATTTCTATGATTCTGAGGGTACTCTTTCCTGGTCACGGTATTAAAAAATAAGTTGACGTGTAACTTGTAATCGCATGTAACAAAAGCATTTTGTCAGTCAAGAGTGCGTGACCAACTGGCGAATAGGTATCACGCTTTTGGAACATATGGGTGTAGTCCTGCAGGACATATAGATGGTTCAAGTGCCTTTATATATATATATCCTTAAAAATGCTTCTATCAACGATATATACGCTCTTCAAAACACTAATGATCATGATGGCTAGCATGATATGATCGTCATGATAGCGACATGAAAGAAGAACGTGAATATCTAAAGGGGCGAATCTCGAAAGGAAATTTAAAAGGAAATTTTGGTTTTAGCTCAATTTTTTATTAAAAAAATTTTTTTTTATTATTATTATTATTATTATTATTATTATTACTAGTTCAGGGTGTCTACTAACAGGGAAATGCGGAAAAACCGGGAAATAGCCGGGAATTTAATTTGACCGGGAAAACCGGGAATAAGCCAGGAATTTTATGCGAAACCGGAAATTTTTTCACCAAATTAAAAAAAGTTTTATTATTTTAATTTGTTTTTAAAAAATCGCTTTTTGTTTCAATTTTTATAGATATTTATAATGTTCTCTAAATTTGAATTAGTTAAAAATAATTAATTTGATAGAAAAAATCAGTCACTGATTCAAATATAGTATGTAAATAAATTCAAAAAAAAAATTATCGAATTAATAGAAATTTTGTGAAATTCAACTGAAAATAATTAAATTTGTTAAAGAACTTCATTAAAAACTTTTTAACAAATCGAATTTTCAAAGTATTTTAATTTAATAATTGATAAATAATTGAATTTTATAAAGAGTCACATTCTAATGTATTCATGTTCCTTAGTGCGAAGATTAATAATTAAAATTTTTATTAGTTAACTTTGAAAAGAAACACACTTAACATTTTTTAACAAAATTGAATTTTCGCAAAGTTTTTTTGAAATTTCTGAAAAATAAGATTTTTGAAATTTTTCAATTCTATTGTTTCAAGATAATTGAATTTTTATAAACAAATAATTGAAAATTTTTAAAATAATTGAAATTTCTTTACATTCTATTAAAAATAATTAAATTCTTTTAAAGAATTATATTTAAATTTTTCGAAAATAATCAAGGGAAATTAGTCACCGTAATTATAATTTTATTTTTTAAAATTTCTTCTCAATATATTCAATTATTTTCATAAATATAGTAAAACTCATTTTCGAATTTTAATTATTTTTAATACAATTTTAATCGGATTTCTCGAAAAATTTACTTTTATTAACTTTCTATTTTTTTATTGTTTATTAAAAGGAGAAATATGTTTTTCTCAGTGTTATATAAAAAAAAGTTAGGAGATAAAGGTAAAGAGGAATTAAATAAATAAAACTATTTGCAATGAAAAAAAAAAAATCGGTAAGGGAAACTAAAAATAAAACTCACGTTCTTCCTTGATCACAAAAGGGCTTTTGGTTTCTTGCTCACGTTCTAAAACAAGAGAAAAAACGAAAAATTTACGAAATGAAAGAAAAAAATTAAAAATTAACTAAACTGAAGAAAGTAAATTTAAAAATGAGAAAATTAAATTATATTCTACTAAAATATATAGAAATTAAATTTTAACAAAACCATGTATAGGAAAATTCACTGAAAATAAGTGATTCGAAAATTTCGTAATATTTCCTTGACGTAAAAATTTGTAATTCAAATTTTTTTTTATAAAAATAAAATATGAATTAGAATATATAGTTTTAATTTTAATATTATTATAATTATAATAATCATATATTCTAACATAGAGAATTCAGGGAGAAGTTAAGAATTTCTATTAAAAGTACTGAAAAAACTTAAATTTTTAGAATTCAGAAGAAAATTCTGAATTTTTGTCTTTTTTGTTTTACTCATAAACTATAAAATTACCACGAATTCTAATACAAAACCTATTTTTTTAATTTCTGACAAAAATTTCTTTTTAAATAACTTAAATCTTGAACAACTATAATAATTTAAATAAATTATTTAATGAATAATTTTATTTAAATATTTTAAAATTAATTCAATTTTAAAGAATTGCGTTTATAATTTTCATAAAAATAAATTAACTTCAAACGGTTTCAATTTGAAATTTTATAAAATTTCAATGTTGAATGAATTTAATTAGAAATTTTTAATGAATTTAGATTTTAGAAAAATTTTAATAATTCAAAATTTTCTAAAATTAGTTGTATTTGTCAATATATATTTAGTTAATTATTAAAAATAATGGATTTATAGAAAAATTTTAGTTAAAAACACTAAAAGGAAATTGAATTTTGAAGAAGTTACAAATCATTGCAGAAATTCAATTATTTTCAAAAGTAATAAAATTCGTATCAAAAAATTCAATTATGTTCAAAATTTACATAAAAATCTCGACAAAATTCCAATTATTATCTTTATAAATAAAAAAATTCTTCAAAATTCAATTATTTTTAAAAATTTTAATAAAATTCTTGTCAAAATTTCAATTATTTTCCTAATTTCAATGATTTTCAATATCTACTATTTTAATCAAATTACCCAAAAGAATTCAGTTATTTAAAAATACTTTTAATAAAATTGTACGCAAAAATTTAATTATTATCATAATTAATTAAAATTTCACAGGAATATTCAAATATTTACAAATTTTTTTATAATTTTAAGAAGTATTCAATTATTCAATAAATTATTTATTTTTGTATTTAAATAATTGAATTCTCGTTTAATTTTTTTTAATAAAAATTTATTTAAAATGAATTTCAGGTAAAATTTTAGATAATTGAATATTAAAAGCATTCTAGCGTGAAATTTTAGAAACAATTGAATTTTGAAAAGGTTTCAAATTAAAATCTTTGAAAATCTGAATTTTTTATATTTTTAACTAACAAATGAATTTTTTTTTTAAAAGTTTAACTGAATTTTTTTTTTATTTGAAATTTTTATTTTCTAATATACAATTATTGAAGAATTTCCGAATAATCGAAAAATTAGAATTTGAAATTTTTGAAAATCTTAATTTCCTGTGGAAAAATAATAATAATTAAATATTTAAAATATTTAATAAAGAAATTATTGTTTTCGAATAATTTTACAATTAAAGATATTCGTAAATAAATTTAACAGAACTTTTTTTTCAATACATTTTTTTCTTTATTTTCTAAAAATTCAAAAATTTACAGTTTCATTCTTAAATTTTCTAGTTGACAAATATAATTTATAGACATCTTTTTTTTCTTTATTTTTAAAAAAAACTTTGAATTTTATTAAAACAATTGAAATCAATTAGTTTTATTATGAATCATGATAAAATACCTGCATATTTTCGATTTGTCAAACAATATTTTTTAAAGAAAAAAAAGCATTCACAGAAACTAACTTTAAACTGTGAACAGAATGAATGAAAGAATACGGAGATTAATATAGTTAATTGTTATAAATATTAATATAAAAATAAAAAAATTTTTTTTTTGGCGTAAACTTGCGATAATCTTACCACAATATTGTAGCAAGCAATAATATAGTAATTAGATAGTAATTTTTCTATATAGCTATATTTATAAAATAGTAAATCAAAGGAACAAATTTTTTCCCACATGTATATATATTATGATCGTTTGCAAACTTGATCCTTGTCATTTAAGTGCAATAATTATATGTAACATGTAATCTGAATCGTCGACAAAACATAGTAGTAGTAGTAAAGCTCTCTCTTTCTCTGTATGTATATTTTATTTCTGATGTTACTTTTTTTTTTTTTGTTCGGTGAAATTTACGTGGGAACTGACTGTGTAGGGTTACTCTGTCTCTCTTTGAAAATAGAGAGGAGAGGTGAGGGAGGGAGGGGGGGTTTGGTTGTTTTTGGGGTTGATTTGAGATGAGAGTTGTGCGAGGGCGTGCTCGTGGTTTAACATCAAAACCGGTGCTCACTTTGACGGCACGTGACTAACAAGCGATGACTGTTTGTGTAACATAATCATACACCACATTTATATACATAGAGATATTATAAGGCAAACCACTTTTTTCCGCCTACATTTGTCTACTATTGTTACATATGTTGTTGCAAAGTATTTTCGAATTGGGGACTTGAGTGGCTATTGATGGGAACTAAACTGTTTTTCTCTCTCGAGATTATCGGCCTTATATATACGATTATGATATGATCAAATGTCAAAATTGACGGGGTTCGAAAATCTTGTTTGCAGAATGAGAAATTTTACCTTTAAGTTACAGATTTTATTTTTGGTTTTTGAATTTCTTTTTCTGTCTATTTGTCAGTAAGACAAACAGAGAGAAAAGGAAATTCAAAAACCAAAAATAAAATTTGGTTTTTCTCTTATTGACAAACAGAGAGAAAAAGAAATTCAAAAACCAAAAATAAAATTTGTAACTAAAAAGGTAAAGTAAAACTCGTTAACTTTTCCTCTCTTTTGCCTTTTTGAATCCATTTTTGATTTTTTTATCAATTTTCATAAATAAGAAGTAAATTTCTATTGTATTTATTTTTGTGTTTGGAATTTTTTTCTCTCTTTTCGTTTTTTGAATCCATTTTGAAATTCTTTTCGTTCAGTTTTATAACTAAGGAGTAAATTTTTTTAATTTGGTTTAAATGAGAAGTAAACTTTTTTATTTTGATTTCAATGAGAAGTAAATTTTTTTTTATGTAAATGAGAATTAATTTCAGCGCAGTGGTTTTTTTTAAAAAATAATTTGCTTGAATCTTGAAAAATTCTCTCTTTAAGAATTGGATTCTATTTTGTAAAAATAACAGTCAATGATACGGTCCATATTCTCGATTTGTAACTATGTTGATAAGGTAAATATCGGTCACTGCAAATGTTACACAGCATTCTAATCTTATCGCGGTCTCAACTACTTGACACTGCCAATCACGAGATGCCAACTCTCTTAAATGGAAAATTGATCACATTCTATAAGGTGACAGGACAAAACCAGTTTTATCTTTTCTTTTTTAAAGTGCATTACATTGGGAGAAAAAATTTATTTAAATCAAATAAAGGATTATTTGTCTATTATCAAATAAGCAATTTTTTTTATTGAATGATTTTTTATTTATGTTAATTAAATTGTATTTGCTTCAAATACTGAAATTATTGGTTCAAGTACAATTTATTTTCTTCAAACACAATTTATTTAATTCAAAAACAATTTATTTGATTTATTTGATTTAAATACAATTTATTTGATTCAAGTAAATATTTATTTGATAATAAGAGGCTTGAAGAATTCTTTTAATTGATGAAATATTTATAGTAGCAATAATATTTAATAATAATAAAAAAAAATAGTAAGAATAAAAATGATACTAATAATAATAAAAATAATAGTAAGAATAAAAATGATACTAATAATAATATAAATAATAGTAAGAATAATAAAAATAATAGTAAAAATAAAAATAGTAATAAATAACAACAATGATAATTACCAATAATAAAAATAATAATACTAATACAATAATTATAATAATAAAATAATTTAAGATAATAATAAATAATAGTAAGAATAATAATAAATAAAATATAATAGATATAAATGAATATTATTTATAGTAAGAGTAAAGTTGTCAATAAATATTCGGCTCTTTCTCACGATTATTATTGGAAAGGTCAATCGACTATTTTTTTAAACGAAGTTTATTTGAAGAAATAAAAAAAAACCCATCGATCAAAATATGTGAGATCGACTGGTTACATTTGAAATAAAATTCGAAGATAAAAAAGCTTTTTCTGCGGGTTACTTAGTAACTCAATAGGGGTTGTGAATGAAGAAACAGTAGGTTTCCCATAATTTCGAATTATTTTAACATTTTAACAATAGGAATGGGTTTTATTAGAATGTTAACAAAATATTTTTATGAAAATTATTTTATTTGTATAAAATATCAAGAAAATTATAAATCCTTCAAGTCAAATATTAAAATAATAAAAACACAATTTTAACGTTTCGACAAATATTTTATTTGTAGTTTTTTTATTTGCAATGAGACACAAAAATAATTTTTAATCGTAATAATTATTTTTTAAAGCAAAAAAATACTTAAATGAATCGAATAATCGGTTTTGATTATTATTTATTGAAAAATTTATTTTTTCTATTATTTTTTTATTATTTAAAAAAAATTTATTAAAATTGTACGTATACATTTAATTATTATTATAAATAATAAAAATTTCACAGGAATTCAATTATTTACAAATTTTTTAATAAATTTCTTCGCAATAATTCCATTGTTTTCATGAATAAAATAATTTTCACAGGAATTCAATTCTTTAAAACAGAATTTTTAAAATATTTTTCGCATGAATTCAATTATTTTTAATAATAATAAAATTCTTCTCAGGAATTGAATTATTTTTTGAAAATTTTAATAATAATCATTGCAAGAATTCAATTATTTTTATAAATATGAGAAATCATCGCAGGATTTCAATTATTTTTAATAA